TTTTGGTTTTTGATTTGGTCTGGACTTTCGGACTGGAACTGTTTGGTAATGGATTTTGATTTGGTTTTGGTATTAGCTTTTCGGATTTGCATAAATATTGTTTTTTCTTGAGCTTTCGACTGGATGGACTTTGAATGTGTTATTTTGGTCTGTGTTTCTGACTCCAACCCCTTCTCAAATCAGGGGGGCAGATCCCCCCGAGAAGAGGGGCACACTATCCTTTCAGGAGGAGGAACGGAAAGCTGATGTTTGGTTTCTGGAGTGTTACAAGCAAGAAATATTCGCGTTTCACCTGCGGAAGTTGTCTTGACGTTGACCGAATGTTTTGGGGATGGATATTGTTTGATCGGAATTGTGAGAGAAGCATTCGTTCCTGGTCGCGTTTTATCTGCGAACTGGGTACATTCTGTGTGTTCGGAAGCATCAAACATGCATATTTTATCCCTTCCGAAATTCATGTTGTCTTGGTATTCATGTAGGATTTGGGGATGACTGTATGCATCTGCAGTATTTCGAAGCTTCAAGGCGATTATCCAGGATTGATCATTGTTTTGGAAAAGAACGATGGAAGAGTTCTTCCATAATTATGTTAACATGAATGGGTTGTTTAATGCCTTTGAGACGTAGGGGATGAAATGTATGGCGAATACAAATGCGACANTCGTCCATGATGTTTGAATACCGGGCATGGATCTACGGAGATTGTCATTGGTAGATTGTGGGAGAATAGGAGTTTGTGCTTGGTTTCTTCGGAGATTTGATGAGTGGTCTGAATTGCGTGATGGATAGGTGCGGTGACGGACTCTGCTTTCGCTCTGCTTTCGCTCTGCTTTCGCTCCTCTTGCGCTACTCTTGCGCTAGTGCGGACTCGGTTTCAACCCCCTCTAATACAAGACTTTCCCATCTCGGCCCTCACTGGCCGAGCTGCCTTTCTCCACAAACCTACAAGCTTCGGCCTACCCGGTTTATCCAACATGGGTAGTGTCAATCTGGCATTCCATATGGCAGGAGGCCGCTCGGGAAGAGTGGATTTTTGTGTCCATATGACAGACGTGTACGTAGTACCAGGAATTTCGTTCAACTTGTTCTCTCTGCACCAAACGCAGAAAAAGCACAGGATAATGTTGGATGAGAGGGGTGTGCACCTTTTCGGCGGTCGGCTTAGTTTCGCATATTCGGATATCGGATGCTCTCCATCGGCTACCCGCTTGCCCGCCTCGTACCGCAACGGTGATGGGATCCCCTCTACCGTTGTCCCTTCCCCCGTTGTCCGCCAAGCGTCTCCGCCTGGCGTTGGCACTGGCCTTTTCGCCCAAAACCCCCCTCCCCCTTCTCAGATTTCAGGATCGGGTGCAGGATACGGTCCGAGTTCGAGCTTCCCGTCCCCCGGTCCCGCCGGTGTTNTCCCGTCCATCGGTACTGCCGGTGTTGTACCTTCGACTTCGAGCTTCCCGTCCATCGGTACTGCCGGTGTTGTACCTTCGGCTTCGAGCATCCCGTCCACCACTTCCGGTGTAGTACCTCAGAGTGATGTTTCCCCGTCTATCAATCACACGTGTTGCTGCCATAGAAAAATAAAAAAAAAGTAGGCCTGAACGGAGACCAGGTACCCAGGGATAAAAAAATACTTTCTGCGTAGCCCCTCTGCGTGCGCCGGGTGTGCTTGTCAGACACTGCTTTTCAGCACCAGCAGTACTCGACGCTCAGGTGGAGGACGGAAGTGAAACTCGGCAACAGGTTCATAAGACGCCCAAATTATTTTTTTGGCTCAGAAAAGGACCCCCCCCCCAAATCCAATCCGGATATAATCACGCCGTAAGACTCAGCCTCACAAAAAGAGTGCCCGTTCGAGATATAGTCTAGACTAAGCTCTTTTTCCCAGACGATGTCTACATGTAGCTCTTCTGCTCCGTTGAACTTCAGTTCTCTACTATAGCGCGACTAATTGGTCTGCAATGAACAGCGGCAGTCCAGTCCATCATGCGGAATCGAAACGCCGTCACGCTAGCAGGCGTGGTGACACCTACCGGCAGCATCGCTCAACTACCACGGCTGCTGCTTGCTTCGACTCTCACAAGGAACAAAAGTGAATCCAACCAAGGCCTACGATTCCACTCACCCTCAAACTCATGGATGGGTGCAACGAACAGCAGGGAAGCGGAACCAAGCGCCGACAACTTGAGGGTATTCTCCATGACACGCTCAATAGGCTCTTGCCCTCACAACGAGAGCGGCGAGGCGGCAGAGCCAGTAATGTGTCGCCCAGACCTTTGCTCCATCGGCCACTTTTTTCTCTTGTTCTGCCGGGTTTTTTTTATTTTTCGGCCACTTTTTTTTATTTTTCGGCCGCCGTCATTTTTTCCCGGACGCCACATTTTTTTTCGGCCACCACAAGTTGTGCAATTTTTATTTTCTCTTCTCGGTCGTAGCCGTACATGTACGATTTCGCGAAGACCCCCCCCTCAGTGCAAAAATGTTGTCGGAAAGGGTATAAGCTGGTTCAGGGAAATGGACCAAAATTTATTCAACCACTCCTGCCAGACGAATTTTGTACATAATGTTGACAAACGCAGTATTATAGTGACCCCCACGAGCAAAGGAACAAATCGTCGTGGCCGGAATTTTTTTTAAGCTGGGAAGATATGGGCTACTACGTGCCTCAGCCAATGAGGAGCCTCCAAATATTTCGATGATATGCAGGCTTTTCCCAAAACGGGGACAAAAAACATAATTACGCCGTATATTTTTTGAAAATCTCAGCCGTTGTCGCAGCTCCTGCTGCACCCGTGCTGCTGTACAACCAGCTGAGTACCTCTGCACACGCGTCTCGTACGCAAGGAGACCCTCCACAATGGAGCCACTACAAAGTGTGGATCCCAACGTTGACACACACAAACGCAAAGTATCGCAAGTTTGCGCAATGCAGTGCAGCAACACGAAGCGTTGAGGCTCAGATGCACGTATCACCCACGGCCACATGCCACGGGCATTCGCAAGAACACCGCCTTCAAGTATGAGACGAAGGCGGAAGCGCTCGGAGACGCGGACAACTGGACAAGTGAGCTGGAGAAGCCCATGCGAAGGCGGAGCTTGTCGCCCAAGCACGGTGAGTTTACGATTGCTGAGCGGATCTTGCTGCACGTAGCTACTGCTGTACAGANCGCGTTGCTAGCATGGTGGTGACATGTGCAACAACACTAGCCGGCGTTCATGCGTATGGTTGGTGCGTGTTTTCCATGACAAGTGGAGCTGTGTGAAAAAACGGCAAGTTGCAGTACAACAGCATCCACATGTATGCACTGGAGAACCTTGACACGAATCCCGTTGTTTGCATCGGACAATCTTGAACAGTAAACGAGTTGTACAGCATGCAGCAGTGCAGTACTACTTGTATTGATACAAAATAGTATATTGTACAACCCATCTCTAATTTGTACTTCTAATAGAACACAGCAGTGCTCAGCAGCACGCAAGTGTACATACAAGAAGTACAAAGTGGTTATGCACGCCAGATCCGAACTTGTGTTTACAAACTGTCTATTTTATAGAACGCACCAGGTTATGCAGCAGCAGCACGCAATTGTACAAGAAAACATTGTGTACAAGTCAGGCCCGAAGTTGTATACATGCAACCCGTCTCGAAAACAAGGTGCCCAACTCTTACAAGTCGCGTCCAGCAGCAACCGACACAAGGGCATACCGTACCCACAGATAAACACAGACACCAACATTGGCTTAGAGGGGCTGCCGTATTGCACGACGGGAGGCTGTGTGTTTTGCAGAGTACAAGGATTGACATTCACGGGTTATTCTTCAATTTGAGTAACGGTCCTCCAGCAGGCGCTCTTTGTTTTTTTCTACCAAGACACAGTCCTTGTATCCAAGCTCTATCGCACAGTTTAATTAACGGCCATACCATCGCCGTATGTTCCAGTCTGTCCTCCGTTAAATTACCCCCCACCGGTGTTCAGGCACGATGCCGAACTGCGAAGTCGCCAAGAAGTGTGCCATCCAAAAACAAGCGGAACGCGCCAGAGCTTTGAGGGGGTTGCAGCAGGTCTGCCTTTCTCCACAAACCTACAAGCTTCGGCCTACCCGGTTTATCCAACACGCCAGATCCGAACTTGTGTTTACAGACTGCCGCTATTTTATAGAACGCACCAGGTTATACAGCAGCAGCACGCAATTGTACAAGAAAACATTGTGTACAAGTCAGGCCCGAACTTGTGTACATGCAACCCGTCTCAAAAACAAGGTGCCCAACTCTTACAAGTCGCGTCCAGCAGCAACCGACACAAGGGCATACCGCACCCACAGATAAACACAGACACCAACATTGGCTTAGAGGGGCTGCCGTATTGCACGACGGGAGGCTGTGTGTTTTGCAGAGTACAAGGATTGACATTCACGGGTTATTCTTCAATTTGAGTAACGGTCCTCTAGCAGGCGCTCCTTGTTTTTTTCTACCAAGACACAGTCCTTGTATCCAAGCTCTATCGCACAGTTCAATTAACAGCCATACTATCGCCGTATGTTCTGGTCTGTCCTCCGTTAAAATTACCCCCCACCGGTGTTCAGGCACGACGCCGAACTGCGAAGTCGCCAAGAAGTGTGCCATCCAAAAACAAGCGGAACGCGCCAGAGCTTTGAGGGGGTTGCAGCAGGTTGCGTAACGCCGGACTCGGGCGCCGGGCGTTTGTGTACGTCAGTCGCGATCGCAAATCAGAACAGCGGAGGAGATACATGGAGCGGCAGGTTGCAGAGTGCGACCAGGAGGATGCTGCAATGGACGCACAGGCCGTGGCTATGTTCTCCACGCTAACGAAGGGGCAACACGTCACGCTGCTGGAGCCTCACGAGCAGCCACCCCCGGTGACTGATGCACCCACGAGCGACATCAGCGTGGCCGACCCTCCGGAGGTTCTCGCCGCACACGCAGCGGCCGCGGTGTGACCCTCAGCAAACCGGTCCATGCATGTTGGCATGTTTGCGTTCTCGGTGCATGAATCAACAGTGTTTTATCACCCAGTTAAGCTGGCACAAGGCCGCGCTGCGATGATAAAAAATCTCTCTTCGGGGCAGCACGGTCGGTGTTTCCGTCTAGTAAGTAGGTAGATTTTGCAGACCCCAACATGCCGGTAACATGGCTGTTTGTGATTCTTTCTCTAACCAACGACACCGTCAACGACACCGTTACAGTGCAATGAAGCTTCGCATGGAGTTTCGTCGACATCGCCCATAAACTGGCCTAATACGGTTGAAAAATGGTCGATTTATGACTTGCCGTCGGTGGGCCAAACTGCGTTGGAGATAGCCTCTTTTGCGGGACCCCAAAAATCTGTCCCAATATGTGATTTTTTTTTCTTGATTCCACCTGACCTATATATTCCAAAAACCGTGTCTATTAATTTTCATGAACTAATTCGATAAACTGATGAAATGGGGTCGTTTGGGCGTCAAAAGAACCCGAATTTCGCCGTTTTGTACTTTAATCAAGTAGTTTGGGGAAATCCAGGATGCGAAATACTTCATGGCACAGGAGCTGAAAACTTCACGCCGTTTCTATGAGTTAGACTCTGAAACTTTGCACACATATACCTTGGGTCAATAC